TAACCTTCACACACACACGCACACACACACACACACACACATATATATATAATAGTAGAAATATCTTCACACACACACACACACACATATAATAGTAGAAATAATATATATATATATATATATATATATATATATATAATAGTAGAAATATCTTAAGTAGAGCCATTTAGGCAACTCTTCCCATTAGCCTACATTTAAAATTGATCTTAATACTTTCCATTAATAAGCTGGAAGTCAAAATGTAGCATAATAAATGCATTAGTGGGCAAGTCTTTTTAAGACTTACAGATTAATGCATTGCAAATGGAAATGTATGCTGGATGAAGTTGATTTAAAAGCAAAACAAAAAATGAGCATTTTTCTTGTGTTTTTATAAATGTAAAATTTCTTGCAGGCAACTTGAGCTGGTTGAGAGAGTGTTTGGACAACCGAGTAGGTGTCAATGGCTTAGACAAAGCTGGAAGCACTGCCTTATACTGGGCTTGTCACGGGGGCCACAAAGGTATCACGTTTTGTTCGTTATAATAACTTTCTATGCTGCTGAAAATGTGTTTCACCCAAGGGAGCCAGATTTACATATATGAGAAGAAAAATTAAAAAGTTGGCTCTTCTTTCTGAATTCTTTAGAACATCAGACAAAAAAGCCTGTTCCTGGAAGCTCTGTAGACAGTGGGTAGAATGTGGTTGGCCAGCCTCCCTGCATGGAGCTCTCTCACTTGAAAGACTGGAAGCTTCCTTTCCTCCCTCAAGCTTAGAAAGGTTACCAGAAAACAACAGTAATATAAAAACAAGCACACTATCTAATTTTATAGAAGAAAAGGGCAAAATTGGCTCCAGTAGCTTAGTCTTTCCCAAGGTATGCTTTTATAATTTGCATGTTAAGTTTAAAACAAACTATGAGATTCAGGAGAAAGACAGCATTTGCTTAAGTGAGTGATTTAATTGATACTTTTCTCTGTTATAATCAATAATAATGAAAATTGAATTGCTAGGTATATTTCATCCTGGCCAAAAATCTACCATCCTGCTCTCTTTCTACCTCCCCCTGCAATACAGAAAATAAACCCAACAACAATGAGAAACAAAGAGCCCACAAATTAAATAGCATAGCCAAAGGAAAATTTGTGACTATCTGCCAGAAGAAACCCATCTTATTTTAGCTAATAAATATCTTAGCTATGTAATACTAAATATCATAGCAAATATAAAAATATTCCTATAATAGATGTCATGTGAAATGCAAAAGCCAAAAGTATTTGGGGGAACAAAAAGGTCCCCAGATAATTTTTTTAGATTGTTAAGTTTCTCTATACATAGATTTTGAAAAATTTGTTATAAGAATTATCTCAGAGATTCTTCTGAAGAATCCTCTCTTTTAAAATTATTATGCCTAGTTTTGTCAGGCTTTTACTTTTCATTCTTAAGAAATATCTTTTCTATTTGAATTTCAGACATAGTGGAAATGCTGTTTACTCAACCAAATATTGAACTGAACCAACAGGTGAGACTTCTTTGTGGAAATCATTGAACATATCTGCCTTGTTCTCTTTAGTGCAGTGCAACTTATGGGTGTGTAAAGTATTCTAGTCAAATGGTTTAAGAATTATTATTCTACTAAAATTTAAATTCTACAAAGCCCAAAATGCCTACACCACTCCTTCTCATATATCACTTTAAACTTTCTTTTTTTTTTTTTCCCTCTTTCTTCTTGTACTTTCATGTCACTAAGGCAGAGACTTGTGGAGCTGCCTTGTCATGAGACATCACATGCATCTGGGCTTCCTATTTGGTGGGTGAAGGGTTAAGCTTGTCAGCGGCCCCAGCTCTCATCTTCCAGCCCCCAGCACCCAACCTTTGTTCCTCTGCTCCTCCAGTGTCTTATCAGGGTTTGGGGTTATGTTACAATTTAATGTTTACATTATGTCTGTTTAAGTAGTGTTCACTGCTTATGTAACTTTTTTGTTTCTGTGCTATTAACTTTTATTTATCTGCCTTTTTTTTTGGATCTCACTAAGACTTATATGATGTTTTATACTCTTGATATCCTCTTCAAAAATGTGTAAAATAGTCAGTGGCTTCCTTTTTTTCTCCCTGGAGCTGTCCATCCTCATTCTCCGAGCTGAGCAACTTGTATATGTGGCTGTACTAATTTACATTCTCACCAGCAGTGTGGATGAGTTCCCCTTTCTCTACATCCTTGCCAGCATTTGTTATTTTTTTTCTTTTTGATAATAGCCATTCTGACTGGAGTGAAATGATACCTCATTGTGGTTTTGATTTGCATTTCTCTGGTGGTAGTGATGATGATGGTTCTTCTGTATACCTGCTGGCCATCTGTATGCCTTCTTTTGAGAAATGTGTGTTCAGTTTTTTGGCCCATTTTTTGTTCAGGTTATTTGTTTTTGTTTTTGTTATTGAGTTTGAGTTCCTTATATATTCTGCATATTAACCCCTTGTCAGACACGTAGTTTGAAATGACTTTCTCCCATCCTGTAAGTTGCCTCTTCACTCTATTATTGTTTCCTTTGCTGGGCAGAAGCTTTTTAGTTTGATGTAATCCCACTTGTCTCTTTTTGCTTTTGTTGCCTGCGTTTTGAGGTCTTCTCCAAAAAATACTTGCCTGGTCAAATTTCGTGAAATATTTTCCCTTATGTTTACTTCTAATAGCTTCATAGTTTCAGATTTTTTCTTTTAAGTCTTTAATACATTTAGAGCTGATTTTTGTGTATGGTAAGAGATAGGGATCTAGTTTCATTCTCCTGAACGTGGATACCCATTTTTCCCAGCACCACTTATTGAAGAGAAAAAATGAAAAATTTACTTCATTTTTTTGTCACCACAGAATAAATTGGGAGACACAGCTTTGCATGCCGCTGCCTGGAAGGGTTATGCAGATATTGTCCAGTTGCTTCTGGAAAAAGGTAAAGTTTGTGCTGAATGTATCTGGTCTTTGCTTACCCTGAAACATATGCTACATCAAATCACCATTTGAAATAGTGGGAAGAATAATAGTCCCCTTATTTTAAAACTGGTATTTTAATCTCTATTCTTTCTATACCACAGAGTTGCCATGATAAGATGAAGTTATAGGGGTTGATTGTGTTAGTTTTTAGTATAAATTAAAACTTTGACAGGCTTTAAAATTATGTGTTATTTTAGTGAGAACTTATTGTACATTTCTGCAGGATTCCAGGATCTTAGACGGAAGGGGTGTGTGTGGTGTGTGTGTACACCACTATGGGGGAGATCCTGTCTGAGAAATCTGTGTGGGTAAAGTTGCTGAGGCCCTTGTTCTACCAGGAAAGTCTTGACAGATAAGAAAGAATGTTGTGGCTGCAATGTCCGTAAATGAGCTGAGCAGGTACTAGAAGGAGACAGAAGATACCTTGATACCCTGTTGTTTACAGAAGCCAGAGGCAACAGTGAAATTATGGACTAACCATCCATCCATCCATTCATTTGTTCCACGAGTATTAATTAACCTTCACAAAGGGCCAGGCATATCACCCCATAACACACCCTGGTCCAGAGACTGTCGTGTAGGACATTTGAGTCCCCAAGCCACAAGTCATGGGATAACCATCATTAGGGATCATTGGAGCAATGTTGTAAGGTATATGAGAGGAAATGGTTTTGATTTTAAGTATGTTGATGATGTAAGCTCCAGGTCTAAGAGGTCAGATATCCTGAAGACCACTATAGTAGCCCCTAAAGGTTATGCCAAGGGCTGTGCTGTCTGAATCGGCAGCCACTGGCCACATGAGCAACTGAGCCCTTGAAATGAAGCTTTCTGTATTGAGTTGTGCTGTAAGTGTAAAATGCATGCCACATTTCAAAGATTTAGTGAAACAAAAAGTAAAACATCACAGTAATTTTTATATTGACTACATTTTCAAGTGATAGAATTTTGGATATACTGTGTTAAATAAAATATATTATTAAAAGTAATTTCACTTTTGGCAAACGTGCTACTAGAAAACTAACAATTATATATATGGTTCCCATCGTATTTCTATCAGCTCTGGTCAAAATGGACATAGGAAATGGTTGTTTCTTCTCTAGTGTAAGTGTCTCTGAATATTTCCTGTCCTGATAGAGATTATGTGTGTGAGTTCTAAAGTGTCATTTAATATATGCTTAGTCACAGAACTGTTGGCCCGTAGCACACTGAGAGAATGAGGTTTTCCACATAACCCTAGCTGTGGATAGATCTAGATAGGCTCAGGAGAAAGATTTTGACACAAGATCGTCATTTTCCTAATTAAACATGCATTTTTTTAGTTCAGTCAATATTTTTGTGCCTACAAGTTTTGGAACATTTATTTTTTGTTTATCAAAGAGGGAGTGATTGCAACAAAATGGCAGGAAGTACAAATTGGTGAAGACTTCTTGAAAAGCAATCCGACAGTAGCTGGCAGAATGAAAAATGTACTTAGCCTTACGTTTCAGCACCGCTTCTAGGAAACCATTCTTCAGAAATCATGCGAACAAAGATGGTGTTCAAGGATGTTCACTGCAGTATTTGTGGTAATGAAAATTAGGAACAGCTTAAGTGCCCATCAGTAGAAGGGTGATTAAATACATTTTGGAACATCTACAAAATGGAATACTTATGAACATTTAAATAGATTTGAGGTACTTGTGCAATGCTAAGAGTACCATTGTACATTGTTAAGTTAAAAATCAAATTACAATACACGCAATATGAGTTTGTGTACATGTACACATGTGTCTGTGAATGGACTGACACACGTAAGGGAGAGGAGAGTGCCTCCCACGTGTTAAGAACGGTTACCTCTGGAGAGGGCAGAGGACGGGTGATGAAATGGGGCCTACGCTTTTGTTCAACATACTTCTGGATTTTTGAAACTTTAACAGTGCAAATGTATTCATGAATTCTGACGTGATTTTTAACATAATGAAGACAAAAAAAAAGTGGGTACAAGATGATTTATGGGAACAATGAATTGCCTCTGGGTTTTGTGTTCCATTTTGTTAATTTGCATGAGAGTACACTTACAGATATGAAATGTTAATCCTCTCAAGCTCAATCCACCTGGTCTTTTCTAATGAGCCTCTTGAGCAAAAGGAGAGGCAAAGAGCATATTTAATGTAAACTCCAAAAACTCATGCAGAGGTACACGTAGCTACCAGGGTCTAAGTGATGATTTAGTATTTACCATGGGGATGGTAAACTCCTCACTGAAAAGTTCACATGCAGTCCTACAGGGAATCGAAGGGAAAAGCTGTGGTTTAATTGAGCATGATTATCACAGTTGCAGCAATGAGCTCCCTGATTAAAGATGCCAAACATATTGTTTTGAGAAGGTTTACTTTACTTCTGGGCCAGAATTGTTCTGTGCTTAGTTTTGCCAAAAGTGATTAGTTTGGGTGGAAGAGGATTGGCTGTTACTATACAGTTTTTAAAACACCTGATTTACTTTTCTTTCTGGGAAGGTGCTAGAACAGACTTGAGGAACATTGAGAAGAAGCTGGCCTTGGACATGGCTACGAATGCAGCCTGTGCATCTCTCCTGAAAAAGAAGCAGGGAACAGGTATTTATTTTAAATCCTTCTTTCCCCTCTGGTGCTCTCACAACTACTTAGTATTGGGAAAAAATTGATCTGCTTAGTAATGGGAAAAAAATATTTATCTGTAAACTCTTTAGATGATCCTGAACTTTGTTTCTATATCCTTGATCTAAATCAGAACCACCAAAATAGAACACTGTCAAGCGAATGCAAATTTGAGGAGAGACACAGATCTTTTACTATTATTTTTATGTTTCCTTTGTTCTTGCAGTCAAGTTCTAATCACCCTGCTTTACATGCAGTCATTTTCAGAAAGCCGTGGTCACCCTTCCTTCATTTCAGATATGTATTTATGGGTGGTCATCACTAAACATTTTTAAATTAAGAATTCATCTCCATGATTGTATTCTGTTTTTATTTTAAATGAGGCTATCAATAAACTGTAATTGAAATTATTCTAGACTTTGTTAAACATTTTGGAACTTACTCATGGGTGGTTTTTAAAAACAGAGTTTCATTCTTGAAGACAAAAATATTGATGTGGAAGAATAAGTTCAAATAAAGAAAAGAAAGCTTGTGTGGTTGTTTTGAAAGAAAGGCGTCAAAACACTTGCTTCATTCATGGTACTATTCAGAGACTGCTGTGGTCTTGATCCTTCAGTCTGTAGCCTGTCGAATGTGTGTCCCCCAGCTTTATTCTAGCACAGTTATTTCCTGAACAAAGTGCTGGCAGGATGTGCCTTGAACTTCTCTTCCATTCCATCTTTCCTTTTTCCCTTCCTGTTCACCATCAGCCCCCTGGTCCATGCCATGCCAAGCTGGTGGAGGTGTTTTGGATGGAAGGGACATTAAATCCCTTTTATCTTACTTCTCAAACCTTACTACATTTTATAATCTTATGTTTGGCACTCTAATACCACTTTGAAGATAAGCCAACAGTTGATACATTTTTTCCACCATTTTCTAGAAAGAAACTAGTGTAATGGAGGACTCGCTGTTTGCAAGTCCTTTGCATTGCTGCTCATCTTTCTAAACCTTTCTAGTATTGCTTTAGAATCTAAGGTTTAGACTGGTCCCTGTTGGTAGAGAATTACCAAAATGACTTTTGAAAAAACAAAATGCCGTTATAGAGGCTGAGTACATTTGCTTCCATTTTAACTTTGAGGGTATTATCACTTTCACAGTGTGTAGTGGAATACTGATTACTTTTCTGTTTTTATCAATTGACCCCCATTAGTTTTTGAACCCATATAAAACTTATTTCTCCCTCAGGTATTCCTTGGTTTATGAGAAGAGGCAATGTTATGCGGTCCCGTATTCCATTCCTAGCAAAAACAACGAAATAAAGTCAGTGCCCTGGTTTCCTGTCTTAAGTCCATCAGAAACAGTAAATAGTCCCTCTTCTTCATGGTTTGCCAAGAAAGCTTCCCAGAATTGTCCTCCTTACCTCTTACCAAGTTCAGATGATAGCCTCCTCATGAATCTATTGTCCCTTTTGTCTTTTTTTTCAGATATGTCTTTGTCCCAGTTTTTTTTTTTTTTACTTCAGTTCAGACACAGTGTAAATAATTAATTAGTTTGGGATTCTTTAAGCCATGAATGCTTCCTGGAAGTTAAAGTCTTTCTTTAAAGTAAATACTCGTGCATAAGTGGATATAGCTTCTACTAAGGGGATGAGACAGTTGTGTCAGCTGAGCTGGTGTTCCCTGGTGACATTCTGATTGAGAAGCTATATTTGCAGCTGTGTGGGAGAGATTTTTTGCTCGAGGTCGACTTCCGACGCCTTACTGCCCTGGTTGGGTCAGGAAGCAGTGCGATGGCCTAACTTCCTTTCTCTGTCACTGACCTCCGGTTGCTGCGTGAGTCCCTTTAGAATGTCCTGACCATAGAGTGAGGTTTCTTACGAGCTGAAGGTCGGTACTCTTTTCTCTGTTCACTCCAAGTGTCTGTGTCTTTAGTCCACCTTCCTAAGTTTTTACTCATTAGATCATGGATTTTTAATGAAGCAATCTTGGGCCCTGGCAGATAGAGCCAAGGAATGAATTTTTATATTTCAATTTCCATGTTACTTTTTTCTATGTTTTATTCTTGCTTCATTCTATCATCCAGTTAAAAAAAGTTTTAATTTGTATTATGATCCATCCCAGTTGGAATGAAGGTTGGAACATTTGGCCATATACGTAATTGCCAGCATGAACCGTAAGCTGGAAAAGGTATATTCTGATATTGTTGTTCACTTTAAAAAGCAGAGTTTGGATTTTGCATAGGGACAAAACAATTCACATGTTACAATTACCATGAAGGATAACTTTGGGATATGGGAGTGGAGGTCAAGGCCATACTTGAAAGTTGAGTCCTACTTGGAAGTTTTTTTCCAATTTTAAAAAAATCAGTATACATTGAGTAAAGTGCATCAATCTTAAGTTTGCAGCTTGATGAGATCTGTTTTTTAACCTATTCACCACAACCTAGATCAAGCTAGAGAACATTTCCCACACCCCAGAAACCTCCCTCTGTACCTTCTGCTTCTCTCACCATAGATTAGTTTTGCCTGTTTGTGAACTTGATATAAATGGACCAAACAGTCTGTACTTTTTTGTGTGTCTAACTTCTTTCACTTACATTATGCCATGAGGTTCATCCATGGGATTGTGTTCATCCCTCCACCACATATTTATTTATGTATTGTCTATGTTTGCTTACTTGTCTTACGTGCCGGTGCTTGATTTGGGAGGTGGAAACTCAGGAAGAGTGGAAGTGCGATAGGGGAGGATGGGAATGCTGCTAGGAGGTATGTACCACCCTGGCCATGCCCCGAGGTGGGCTGTAAAGAGATCCAGCTCATCACTCAGCACTCGGCCATGTGGGAAATTTCCGGAGAAAACTGCCTGACAACTGTCCATGAAAGGATGGATGGAGAAGGAATTTATTTGCACAGTTCATGCCTGTCTCTTGAATTCCATTGAGTCAGAGTTTGCACCGTGTCAAGTCATCTTTTTCTTTTTAAGTAGGATAAACAAGATTAAAATAAAGAGCAGAAGTAACCCTTGAAGGACACAGAATATCTCAACTGGGCAAAACACAGGACTGTGATAGTGTGAGAGGGAGTGAGGGGGAGTCAGCAAGACGCACACTGCCTTTCCTCTACACTCTCACAGCACAGCAGTCCTCAGCATCAGCACAAGATCCACTTCTGACTTCTGTGTCCAAATGTGTGGGGACTTCTCCCCACCAGCAAGCAAGCCAGCAGTTCTGTAGCTGGTGTCCTCTAATTCAATTCTGACACTATCTACCTGGAGGTAGCGTCAGATCCCACAGGTCCTCAGCCCCCAAGACTACCCATGCCCCCTGCTGGCCACCATCAGATGCCAGTTGCAAGTCTGGGCTTCTGGAACTTCTCACCAACTGGCTATAAATCAGGGTTCCCAAAACCCCTTCCTTGGGTTTGATTAGTTTGCTTGAGCGGCTCACAGAACTCAGAGAAACATGTACTTAAGTTTACCAGTTTATAATAAAGGATATTACAAAGGATACAGATGAAGAGATGCACAGGGCTAGGTATGGGGGGTAAGGGTGTGAAGTTTCTATCCCATCCCTGGACGCACCACCCTCCAGGAACCTCCATGTGTTCAGCTACCAGAAGGTCCCTGAACCCAGTCCTCTTGGGTTTTTATGGCAACGTCATTATGTAGGCATGATTGATTAAATCATCAGGCCCTGGTGATCAACGTAACCTTCAACCCCTTACCTCTCCCCTCCCCAGAGGTTGCTGGGGTGGGACTAAAAGTCCTACCTTGGTCTTTGCTTGATCAGGCCCCATTCCTGGAGCTGCCTAGGGGCTATCAGCCATCATTAGCATAGGAAAAGACTCATCACTTTGGAGTTGTACGTCAGGAGATGGGGATGAAGACCAAATATATATTTTCACAATATCACAGATGGCAAAGTAGCTTTGCTATTTGCCTTTTTGGTTTTAGATGAAAAAGCTACTTTTTATCAAGTACACACAGGAAGTCCTGAAGTTCCTGGGTGTGTGTTGGAGAGAACGAAATATGTTCCTCCCAGTTCTCCAGAATTCCTCTTGAGGAGAATGGCAAGAATGTGGCCAGCCTGGAGACCTGCACTGGCTTGGAAGCTGGCATGGAGTCACTGAACTTTGACTCTGCTCTGCTTTGCACTCTCTGCTGTTCTTTTATGAAATATAGCTCCTGTGCAAGATGTTACCAATTTCTACCTCCCTTGTACCAAGCCTCCCTTCTGCCTTCCTTTTTGCAGATAATCATTTCTCTAAACCTGTAAAGATAGACTCCCTTTAAAAACTACAATATCATTAGCATACCTAAGAATTAACAATAATTCCTTAATATCATCAAATATCTTCCCATTGTCCAAATTTGCCATTTTTTCTTATATATTTGTGTATTCTTTGTTTACTTATCTATTTATTTACAGTGTATTAAGTCAGGGTCCATCCATATCAGGTCAGTTTGTGATTGCTAAGTGTCTCTTCATTTATTTGTTTAATCAATGTTTCCTTTCTCTGTCCTCTTCCCTTTTTGAATCTTGCAATTTATTAAAGAAATTGGGTCAACTGACTTGAGTTTCTCAGTGTGGACATTGCTCATTGCATTTCCATGGTGGTGTTTGTCCTGTTTCTCTGCACTTCATGTTTGTGTCAATTGGTGTTAGATCTAGAAGTTTGGTCCAATCTAGGTTCATTCATTCATTCATTCTATTTATTTATTTATTCATCCACTCATTCATTCATTTATTTATTTTGGTGGCTGGCCAGTAAGGAATCAATTTAGGTTCTTTCTGGCTCTCTATCTACCCATCTGTTTATCTGTCATTTATCTGTCTGAGAGGTGGAGGGAAGAATATATCATGTAAAGTATCATGTTCTTCCATCGGAGGCACATAATTTTTGGTTATCACTCTTCCTGTGATGTTAGCATCCTTTGATGATCATCATTGTCTAGATCTGTTATTTCACTAATGGTTGCAAAATGGTGATCTAATTCACTCTTTTCTCATGTTATGAGCTAGAACATTTTATATAGAGAAATATTCCCTCATCAACTGTTTTACTACTCAGAGGAATAGCTTGTGTAGCAGGGGCAGGATAAATGCTTGATATGTGCCCTTTGTCTAAGAGTTTTCAAAATAATAAGCTGGTTGCCTATCATTCTTCAAAGAGACCCAAGTGAACTGGGTGTGTGTTGAAATATTTGATGTGCTTTAATCCATTACAACTAGTAGCTGTATTGATTGTTCATCTTTGACTAGTGGAAGCCTCTTTAAGTTGGATCCTAAACACTTTTCACATGATGCTATGTTTAATAGGACCCTTGCTTTATAGCATGACAAGAGTTCTAGGTCTGTCTCTTACATTTCCTGACTCAGACTTGGAAATCAGTCTTATCTCCAGTGAGCTTTGGGAATATATGGTATTTAGAGACCATGGTCTGGGTGCTATGACATTCATTTATTGAGCTCCAACAATGTGCCTGACCTTGTTATCCATTTTCCTCCCTGAATTCCATCTAGGGTAATCTGTTGGTACAAGAATTTGACTAGAGTTGAGCAGGTGACAGTCAAAGGTCAAATGTCTTCTTTTTGAGCCCTGTTCAAGGTTGATTTAACATTTGGTGGGGCCTAGTTATTTCTATTTAAAACTTTTAAAAAAAAATTTCAGTCTTTAGCTTCTGAGTATACTTTATTTTCACTGTTTTCTAAGGTGAAACTGAAGCTTTTGTGTTTTATTCTCTTTTTTCTCCATTTTTCCCCTCACTAGTTATCTTTCTACCCAGTGACCTTGCCTTCAGGTAAGGCCTCAGGCTGTGGACTGGCAAAGCCATGTGCACTTGTCATTAGGAGAGATGGCTGGAAACATCAGAGTGGAGTGGCTGCTAGTGTGTTACACGTTAGTCACAGTGCATGTGGCTGGTGACTTTCTGTTGGAAACAGCCTAAGGATACCTTAGCCTCACATGCTTTACTCTTTTGCATTTACATGTATGTGTCAGCCTCTGTGGCAGCAGAGACTTAATAGTTAGGCTGAAAAGCCAAAGTAGAAAAAGATTCTCGGAGAAAGCACAATCCCTGGGTCAGAAGGAAGATTACAGTTTGTTGAATTTTCAAGAGCTTTGAATGTGAAAAACAAAATCCGAGCAATTTGTAATTTCTCTGTTTTGCTTTTTTTCACTATTCCTTTTAGATGCAGTTCGAACATTAAGCAATGCCGAGGACTATCTTGATGATGAAGACTCAGATTAATTCCCTTCTGGAGCTTTGAGATCTAAAACTTCTGTTGCTTTTGCCATTCCAAAACTTTATCTTTGCCAGAAGAGTATTGGTAACTGTAAAAAAAAGAGAAAGAAACGTATATATGAACATGGCAGTGTTGCACTGTGTTTAAGTGAAACGTGTAAATGAAAAGTTCTCACCTCCGGTTTGCCAATAAGTGACTGGATACTTTGCTGTATAAAATACATTTATGTTCACCAGAGTAGAACAAGAAGAGATTATTTCTATTTATCAAGCTAAAGGAATTTTAAGAATTTTTTTCTTTAAAATAAAATCAGGATGATGTTTTTTAGTTCAAGTTCTTTACCTCAAAGATTGAGATATTTTGAATGGATTTTTCAAGGGGGGAAATGCTTATTATAATAATAAACCAAAATACTTAAAAGAAAATTGTCAGCTATCCTGACAGAAATAAACATTTTAAGAGATTTTATTCCGTTTGTCTGTTTTTGTGTTATCATTTATTGCTGGTAAATAAATAAAGCTTTTTGTATTTAGGTAAGACTGACTTTATTTTATTTTTTTAAATTATATTTTTTATGAGGTATCTTAAAAAAATTCATGGAAAGATTCATCTTTTAATTTCATTTTTCCATGAACTATTTGAAGTACCCTAGTATTTATTAGCACAGAAGAATCATGATAGTCACATTTCTGTTCACCTTCCTGTATCTGCTTTGATTAAAGTCAAGACAGTAATCATTGAGAATACATGTCTCATAAAATATATCCTTTTAATGATTATGAGACTTTCATTTTTTTTTTTCTAAGATTATACTTAGAGTGAAAAGGCAACTCATTATAGTTTACTTAAGGTTTGAAAAGTTTAAAAACTTGATTTCCTTATAGAATATACCGCAATTTTTTTGCATTCAGTTTTCACTTTGACAACGTTTGTTTCCTCAAAGCGTGTGTCTAGATCATAACAGTTCAGATTCTTTTGCTGCAATGCCAATTATTGCAGAGCCTTCTATACTACTGATATGACACTTTGTTAGAGGTTCTAATTTTGTATCTACAGTGATGATATTAAAAATGACATAGCCATTGGAATTTGCTTAGATTCCTGGCCCTAGACCCAGAAGTACATGTTGCAAGAGCACTTTGATGCTAATTTCAAAAAACACGTTGGTGAAGAGAAGGAAATGTGTGAAAAAGGAAGTGGCTTAGCTCAGGAAATGAATAACTGCTTCTGTAAGAGTTTCTTCTGTCTGTGACTGCTTGGTTTTTCCCTCTGTGGGTGCCTTGAGAAAGGATACTCAGAGAAGCTGGTTCTAGGTCTTTCAGATACCCCACCTAATTTTAGTAGAAAGGAATCTGTACAAGTAGTGACCACAGAGGATGAGGACAAATTCTGGAACTAATAAAATAGGGTATTTTATTTTCAAACAAATATGTTATTAAATTTGATTTAACATTTTATATTTTTTCTTAAGCATAAATTTGAAAATATGAAATCCTTCTTGAAATTATATCTCTTCCCACAGAACCTTTAAAGATTTTGCTTTAAAATGGGGCTATGCCTTAACAGGAAGCTTTTGGAGACCCCTGTAACTTTAGGCTTTTGTATACTTTGGGCCTGGGGTAATTAGGATGAATT